TGTCAGGTGAAAATTACGTTCTCAACTCACAACAAAGCAGCTAGTTTCCAGTGTCAGTGTAGAAATGCTGACATTTGAAATCAAGAGATTCATCCAAAAATACTGTGTTTGAGTTTTTATTGCAAATCATTTTTTCTTTAAACTAATGTTATGTTTACATGAGAAGCAAAAAACAGTGCAGTAAAATCAGCATGTAGGGCCTAAAAGTGGACATGAACATGCACAGGTAGGTGCAGTGTTGACTTTAAATTGCTGCTGGCAGTGAAAGTAAGATTTGATGTGGGATAGGCTGTTCGAAAGGTCTGTAAGTATTTTATTTCCTTTAAGCGTACATACAGGTAGAAACATGAGCAAAAGGTGCTTATTATGTCTGAACTCAATTTCAGGGCAGAACAGAGTGTAATTTCTAGACATTCTAATTACTGCAGAGGTGGCAGCTCCAAAATGCCACAAAGGCTGGATGTGGCTCTGGGCAGCCCGGTCTGATGGTTGGCAGGCCTGCACACACAGCAGGGGGGCTGAAACTGGATGATCATTGTGGACCTTTTCAACCCAGGCCATTCTATGATTCTGTGAAATGTTGCACCATGCTTCAAAAAATGGATACCAGCAGGAGATCATGGGCAGCTTCATTACCTACTTCATTCTGCCACTCCCATACACACTCCAGAGCTGTGGGAAGGGGACAGCACAGGAGGCAGATATGCCAGAATAAAGCACTCGTATGAAATTAAGTGCTTCTATTTATGTGATTCCAAATTGAAGTATCCCCTTTCACACTACCTCTGTTGCTGGTAAGCCAAAAATAATCTGGCTGAAAATCAGTGCATTTCAAATGGGTTAAGGAAGTGGAATCAAGATTGTTTTAACAGTTTTTGCTTCAGACCTTGGAGGTTCTTAGAGGAATATGCTAAAATTCAGTGGAATATTAAGAATGTGAAATTAATTTGCAGTGCTTTTGAAGACTTTTTGAGTTACTAAAAAATTTCTGATATTGGTGTAATCTACTATATTAAGTAGAATACATTAAAATGTATTTTAATTATCTTAAAATTATCTGGCTACAGTGAGAGCAGGGTTGATCTCTCCTCACTAGTGACAGGTGACAGGATGAGGGGAAATGGCCTCAAGTTGCACCAGGGAAGTTTAGGTTGAATATCAGGAAAAACTGGGTTGTGAAGCACTGGAATAGGCTCCCCATTGAGTCCCCATCCCTGGATGTGTTTAAAAACCATTTGGATGTGGTGCTCAGGGACATGATTTAGCACAGCACTATTGGAGTTAGGGTAGGATGGTTAGGTTGTGGTTGGACTCGATGATCTTTAAGGTCTTTTCCAACCTAGTGGTTCTATGATTCTATGAGACTTCCTCACAAACAACAATTGTAAACCAGTCAATTTTAAAGGATTATTACTTTTTTAATTCTCCAGGGAGTACATCATTATGAATGTCGTGTCCATCCTAGGACAGGAGGAAACTCAGCAGTTTGGTTGAATTGTGTAGGTCTGAAATTGCAGTGGAAATCTGATCTGTCTTCAAAGAGACAGATTTTGAGTGGTTGGTACTGCCTGTGTCTAAAACTCTTACAAGCACCAGTACAGCAATTTGGGAAAACTAGCTGCTCTGCTTTTATGCTTCTGAGAATTACATTTGTCTTTCCAGATATGCAGGACTTCTGCACACAGAATTTGCTATGGTTTCACAGTGTACAACCCCATGGGCTTTATTCTTAGAATCCAAACGTCAGTTACTTTTTGAGTTACTAAAAAGTCATGCAAGCTCGTTCTCTTGGGTTTTATTTTCTAGATATTGATCATTAAGGGCATTCATACAAAGGCTGGTTTGAGCCTAGACCTTCCTATGGCAGAAAGTTCTTTTGGAGAAAATCCATCTCTCTGCATTGGCTAACTTGCCCCAAGGAACTGTTGTTTTTTTTACTACTCCTTACAGTTTAGGGCTAGGGGTCATAAAGCTAGAATGAGCAACTTTGTATACTAAATCCCATAGTTTTTACTAAGGGCAGGAAAGTATGTGTTCACAGGGCTGTGAAGCAATTGCTTAGTGGAAAAAAAACTTTGGCCCAAAAAGACCAAAAATTTCCTGTGCTGCCAACAGAATACATAGGTACTTCTTACTTAAGTTTTTTCTTCCTGGTGTTGGTTCTGTGACTTTGTAAGTCTTCTCTGTGGTCTTCAGTGAGATGATGATGCGTGTCTGAGTGTTCAGTCTCTTAGTCCAATTTACCCAAATCTTATTGGCATTATTTCATATGGTCATTCAAAAGAAGTGTTGCAATTGCTGGAAAGGTACCAGCTCAAAAACTGGTGGGGTTTTTTTCCTCCTTAAGACACTAGCCATGCTGTTTCTGGAAGTCATATGTGTAATACATACTTTATTTTCCTACCTCTTGAATAAATGCATAATTTAAGTTCTAGAAGAGTGCGTGATGCAGCACCCTTTCACATCAGTAGACACTGGATCAGGTTCCAGTAAGTCCATGTGTGTGATTAAGGTCAGAGCTACTTTGTTTAGAAAACAAAACTTTAAAAGCAGTATTTGTATTTATCATGAAGTTGAGGCACATGTCACACAGTTTAATGTTTTTATGCTTACCCTGTTTTGATTCTGGTTAGGATCTTTTGCATATAGATGGCTTCAGGTGTCACCTGAAGGCTTTGGGCTAGAGAAAAGACATGATGCCATTACAACCATAAACTGTCATCTCTGCTGCCTGACAGCAGGGAAGCTGCTATCTCCATGGGACTTCTGCTGGGCAATGAACATAATACCATTTCTCCCACACAGCTGTTTGGGGGCATTAGCATCTGTTGGTTATGCTTCAGTAGCAACTCCAGAATAGTTTGTATGTAAATGCACTGTGATAGGTAGAATTAAATGTTTTCAAATAGCACTTTAAAAGATTGTCTTCACGCTGGCTTTATTTACTTACCTGTACTAAAGTTTGGTAATAAGGATCAAGCTTTTCATTTTTGCTAGGGGTCTGACCAAGGTCCATCAAATCAAGATCAGGCACTGTCTGCCCAGCAAGCTGCTGTCATTAACCTGACCGGAGTAGGGAATTTCATGCAACCTCAAGCCACAGGTATGTGCTTGCTGAGCCTCCCTTTGTATCTGTGTACGTTGATAAATTCACACTGAAATGAAGTTTGGTCTTTCTGATTTAAGACGATCAGAACAACCCACTATGTATTATCAGCATATGAACTCTACAAGAAATATTTGACTTTCCAAGCATGCACTTCTCTGCTTTGTTTGGCAGTTAAGTGTAATCAGTTTATTATTTTGCTGTCACATCTGATCTGAAAACAAAATACAGGGAAATTCCATGCCAGACTTCATTGAGGAATGCTCAACTGTGTGCTGAACATCTAGTATAATAAACCTCTTTGTGTCTCCACAAGCACTTCATAATCTAATTATGTTCTAACTAACCAAGTATGTATATCACGTATATTTTATTCTGTACTGTTTCCAGTTTTACTCAGACTAATTCTGTGACTCTCCTTTTCTGTTACGTTCTTCCTATGCCTTCCTTTCCCTACCCTGATAAACTTGACCTGACCTCTTTGACCTGCCTGCTTTCCCCTTCTCCTTTCTTAGTGTTGTCTCAGCTTGGCTCTGCCATGAACAGACCTGGGCAAAGCCTTCCTCAGCAGAGACTCCAGCTCTCTTCTGCCTTACAACAGCAACAACAACAAGCCTTGCAGCAGCAGCAGCAACAGATACAAGTAATCCAGCAACTTCACTCCGTTTAAAAAAAGAACACAGTAATACAGTTCTTAGCTCCAAATTCGAAAATCTTTTTTTCTGTTTTTTTTTTTAACTGTCACTATGGTCTTACAAAGAAACAAACCTCTCAATTTTGGCAAATGATTGTGATAAGACTTGAAATCTGTGATTCTCTCAGCTTGGAGCACTGAATTTATTTTTATTCATTTAAGCCATCCACCTTCCCGATTTGGTAACATTCAAGGAGTGCTTGTGGCACATTACTAAATAAACTGCCAGGTGCCATTAGGATTCCAAAACAACAAAACTGTAAGCACCTGCAAGTTCAAATGTAGTGCAGCTATAGGCAGCATGCAGAAACAGCTCTGGCAAAGCATTCCTTCAGTATTGTCATTCATATGGTCGATGAAAATATTAAAATACTTCTGCTTGTGAGGTACATAGAAAATAATACATGCATGGAAAATGCATCATGCTAAAAGAGCGTCACCAAATGTTTCCTGAAGTTGCTGAGTTACTGCAATGGACAGAAAGGGCGAAGAAGTAGCTGTTAGAGAATGTGTGCAAAACACGAGACGCCCTCAGGCTTCTGTGCCACTGGTGCTGCTTGACTGTACTCACTGCCCCCCTGCACATGATATGTTTCTTTTGTTCACCGAGCACTTCCATTTTTGTTTCCCCCCCCACCACCATCTTACTGTCGTTCTTTCTGATGTGAGCCATAGTTTTGTAGCTAACACTAACAAGCTTTTTCTCCTCCTCCTTTGTGGCAGCAGTTGCGATTCTTGCAGCATCAAATGGCTATGGCAGCAGCAGCAGCACAAGCAGCTCATCTACGACATCAGCAGCATTCAGGCAGCCACTCAAAAAGTAAAAGGAAAAGAGGCACACCTGCCCCTCCAAAATCCTGAGACTTTCTCTTTTTTTTTCCTTAGTATAAAAATGATTTAAAGGCGTGGGTTGTTTTTTTTTTTTTTCCCTGTTTAAAAAGGATAAAGCTTAAAAACAAATCAGTATTTTATAGTGTTGTTGGGAAACTGAACTTTTGACATGACACAGAAAAAAGATGAACTCCTTGGAAGCCATTCCTACATAATGTAATGACTTCATCAATAAAGCAGCTGGGGTCTGGCTTCCATAAGTCACTTAATTTTTTAACAGAATGTTTTATCTTGTATTTTTTACCATTCAGCAGCACTGTACATAGCAAAAGGGTGAAAAACGTTTTAGAAGAAAATGAACTTTGTAAATGTAGTATTAGTATTTGTTTATTTAGTATAAAAAGGTTTGTGAACACCGTAACAAATACAATTTTTATAAATCCACTTTTGAAAAGATCTTTTTGTTCACTTGGGCTTTATACTTTTTATTACTTTGTCTATCAGCTTCTTTACTTCTTTGTGTCTCGTAATGGCTCTGCTGATACAGTCCTGAAGTTTGGCTCCTGTCAGAGGACTTCCACCTAAGAATTGGGAGGAAAAAAGAGGAAAATGGTTTTCCAGTTGTACTTCAGTTACATATCCCTAATTGTATTTTCCAAATCAAAGTTTTGATACAGTAATTCTCCCAACCAGCAGTTTTCACCTGGGAAGTTATACAGCTTCCCCAACTATAACCTCAAGCACAGGAAAGAAACATTAGGGCTAAAATGCAGACATGCTCAAAATCTGCCTTTTGCTATACAAAGGACCAGTTATGACTTTTTAACATTCATGCTGCCTCCTTCAAGATGGATTTTAACAGTAAGTGGTTTAATCAGTACTTAAGCAATCTGTCGTCATAAAGGGCCCACAATTTACAAAGAAATGCAGGTACATAACATATAGGTCAAGAAAAGACCATCCTCTTCTTTAGCTCTTGTGTGGTACCTGGTTTGTGGACAGAACAAAGTCTGTCATCTTCATCTGTGACAACAGTCACTGTTCCAGTTGCTAAGTCTTCTTCTTCAGCAGTTGGGTCAACAATGAGTAATGTGCTTTTGAAAGAGAAACATATGCAGGCATTAGTTTGTGATGCACCATAAATATCACCAAGTTATCAGATGTGATTACCCTGAACTCTCAGATTCCCTACCTACAGAAACAAGGACGTAGGAGTGCTGGTCATATTTCAAGTTGGGTAAATATGTTTCCATTAACAAGAGATTTTATTCTAACTGGACTGGTATTTTTTATTTCCTCTGTTGACAAATACTTGATATAAGCTGTTCAAAAATTACCATCTTTTATATCAGTTATGTATACACACTTTTAAAAGATTATCTGTTCTTAGCATTCTTTTGTCTCAAAAATACTGCATAAACACACAATACCTATTCCAGAAACTTCAATCCTAGACTACTTTTCAAGCTTGTCTTAGGCAGGGAAACCATTCTGCTTTAAGTCACAGGAAGAAGTTGGACAGACTTTGTTTCATTCTGCTGCATACTCTTTCATAACAGAACTACAGATCAGCAGGACAGGCCTTGGTAGCAAGAGCAAGAGGAACAGGCCTTCACTAGGTTCTTCACTAGAAGTGGATGAGACATGCAGAATTGTCATCCTAAGCACCTTCTGGTTTTCGCTACTTCTTTTAAGACAGAGCTGTTGGAGAGGGTCCAGAGGAGGGCCACAAAGATAATAGGGGACTGGAGCACCTCCCCTATGAAGACAGGCTGAGGGAGCTGGGCTTGTTCAGCCTGGAGAAAAGAAGGCTGCGGGGTGACTGACATACAGGAGAGGAATCAACTCTTTGAAAGGGCAGATAACAGCAGGACGAGGGGAAATGGTTTTAAGTTGAGGGAGGGAAGATGTAGGTTGGATTTCAGGGGGAAGTTCTTTACAGAATGGTGAGGTGCTGGAAAACAGGCTGCCCAGAGAGGTTGTGGATGCTCCATCCCTGGAAGTCTTCAAGGCCAGACTGGATGGGGCCCTGGGCAGCCTGGTCTAGCATTAGCTGGGGAGGTTGGTGGCCCTGCACGTGGGCTGGAGATTCATGATCCTTGAGGTCCCTTCCAACCCTGGCCATTCTGTGACTCTGTGATTTTACACACTCAGCAGTTTTTTAAGTACAAAACAGTTACAGACTTACTCATCAAATATAGCAAACGACGTGGCAACTGGATGCTTTCTGATAACCAAGGGATTCTTCTGCTTGAAATCAACTTCGGACAAACCAGTTTCTTCATTTATAGTCACAGATGGCAGCTGCACTGAAGAAATGAAAGCATTGCATTGGTACGATATTAAGCATTGCTGTTCTCAGTAGGCATAGAGATATCCAAGGCTACTGAAACAGTTCAGCTGTTCTACTACCATATTGATAAGCTACTGAAAACAGATGAGAATAGAGTTGTGGCTACATTACTGGTGCTCCTGTACACAGCATTTTTTAAATTCAAGGAAAGTGTTTAACTTAGAAGTACCTGTTCAAGTAAGTATATAACATTCTTCCTTAAGCATTTTCTGAAGCTTTCTAGAAGCATTTTCTGCTTCCAAAATACCATACACTTACAGTATCTTTAACAAAAAGCATTTTTCCCACCCAAAAAGCCTACAGGACATATAGATGATTCATAAATCTAGAAAAAAAACACAATCTAATCATCAGATAACTCTTTGTCAACCCATACAGTATTGGAGACAGGGAAATCAAGAGCAAAGTAGCCACAGGAATTTAAAGGCATGCAGGTCACACTAAGAAAGGAAGCCTTACTGTAAGCTTCTCCTTAAGCTTTCCTACATGTGTGTTTAACCCACATCTTGTGGGGATCGATCAATGTATTGCATGCATGAAAACACTTATTTCAGACTATAATACATTAAAAGCTTGGAATATTCTGTTCTGCCAAACAAGAAAGCCCCCAACTTACTCTGCCTACACAAAATCAATGAGCAAGGGAAGATGAACAAGGTAAGATATTTAAGTTAGTGGCCATTTCTGCCAGCAGCAGTAGTCAGTGTGTTTTACTCCACAAAAGACTTACCATTTTTCAGTGCTGCTAACAAAGCAAAGGTACTGGCATCCAAGATGTTCCCATCGTAGTCCAGACATATGATATCACAGTATAACACCCAAGCAAGCTACCAAAAAAGGTTTGCACATGTGATGTATTACAGCAGCTAAATAAATAGTGCAATATCTAAGAAAACACGGGCCACCTGAATAAATATACTTATTTCTCACATGAGAAAGAAATTTTTACACTTCAAACATAAATAAATCTATGCTGACTAAAAAACAAACTCATCAAAATCTATAACCCCCCCCCTTATTTTCTTTAAAGTTGTAACACTCTGATCTTGCTACTATGATCCTCTTCATTTGGAGACAGAACTTACCTTGCCATCTGCAATACACAGATCTTCTTTTGCTATTATCTGTGAACTAAAATAAAATGAGTCTAAACCAGGGAACAAAAACTCATCCTGCAGTTTTTTTGTATTTTAAATGCAGCACAATGGCTCTTACTTTTCAATCACATCTGCAATGAACTGGCTTGCTGCTTGAGCCTCTTCACCAGGAGGTCCGGAGCGAAACCTCGTTGAGCAGAGAGATGGCAATTCTACATTTGGAACTGGGGAGCAAAGGTCGTTAGTTATAAACTAATGGGAACTCAGAAATAGAAATAGGACAATATGTACTTCTAATACCATTTTATACACTTGAAACAAAAGGTAAAACCAAGACTTTTTCAGTCAAGCCTTTCTACCTCTCCCCTCAAAAAAGAAATTCAATGTGACTTTGTAGTAAAGGACTTCTACAAGTCTGTAGTTGGAAATACATATTCCACTGGAAAGCCAATACTGATATGTACCATTTTCCATTTGTATTCCTGCTATGAATATCATGACCACATGCAAACTCTTCCATAAGTGTTCTTCATAAGTGTTCATAAGTGTCCGTAAGCATTCTTGGTTAAATCATGAAACAACACCACATTCATCCCACTGCCTGGCTTTACTGGTATGCTCTCTGCTCTTCTTCAACTGTCAAAACTTGATGCTTTCAACTGAAAGCAAAAACATGCATAAACATTCACGGGGGGTAGAAGAAAATCTGAGACCAGTATCAAGTTCACTGCAAACAACACATTTTGCAGAAGATCTCAGTTCCACAGAGTTAAAAATCACACAGGAATGCAGATGTACTTCGATTTCTACAGTTCCCTGAGAAATAAGTAGATTTTAGTTCACTCTTTTCACAAGAAGCACTTTTTGTCTGTTCAGACTTCAATAAAGATGCATGCCTTTGCACAGCCTTTCACAGCGCTGTATTTCAGAGATGAACTACCTTCCTCCTCCTAACATACACACTTATCCCCCAGAGGAGGTTTATTTTCAACCTGGGCTGGAACCAGGAATGAAAAAGAACATCTTTGCATGGAAAACTCACAGCAGAGCAGGGGAGTTCTGAAATTTCTGAAGCACCACTTCCTGAAAGCCAATTTGGAAACTGATTTCAAGGAAGATAATACAGTGCTAACCATTTTCTTTCTTTTAAGAGGCCTTCACAGCACACTCAACCTGTCCCATGATTGCAGCCCTTTAGCTGAAGGGAAAAGATCTGCAAAAGAACGATACCAAAAATCTTACCAATATATCCCTTATTAGCAGAATCTACTGCAGGTGCAGCAAGCTCCTGGAATAAAAAAGGGTAAAAATGAAGAGCTGAGTTCTGTTCAAAATGATTTTCCTGCTATTTCATTTATGAAGTATCATTTTCTTGCCAGTTACTATTACAGTTAGAGTTAAAAGAGCTATTTTTAATGAGTTGATTGCAAGTTAATAGGTAGCAAACTGTCTCTAATTCACCTATGGGAAAACTTCTTGCTGCAGGGGTGTGAAGTGATTTGTCTCATGGTTCATGGCAGGCCACCAGAGCTGAGCTAACAAGGCACTCAACAGCTCAGCCAGCTCTTCACCAACCCACTTATGGATCAATCTGAAGGAACTCATCAATTACTCTGTTATTTCTGGAGAAAAGCTCCTATATCCTTGTGCACGTCCTCCCCTGCGCACAGCACACATCACAAACACACACATGCTCTGAATGTACAAGTTGCACTGGACAACTAAATAACTCAAGTGAAAGACTGTAATTCTGTCTGACTGGTATCTTATTGGTATCTTATCTGTGGGAGAGACATTCTACAAATGAAGGTACAAACTCAGCTAACAGACAAGTTAAAATCAAAACCAACCATACCGCTTTCACTCCACAAATTACTGTAGTATTTCCCAACTTCACCAAGGCAGAACCATCTGCAGTTGTAATTGAACCTGAAGAGAGAAAGTGCTGTTTAGTAAAATCTGTTCTCTTTCATCCTTAACACCCACCTTTACAGTGCTTATTCTCCATTATTCTAAACCAGTCTCAGCAAAGTCTTGATGACCCAAGATGGGAGCTGAGCTTCCCTTTCTAGCAAGCAGTCAAAATACTGGATTACTAGCAATCCTAAAATTGAAGCTAAGAATCGCTGAATCCATTACCCAAAATGTACTTCTAGTGTTTTCCCCCAGAATGTTACCAAATAAGTCTGCTTCATTATCTTGATCCAGCTTTCCCATGACCACCATATTATTTTTGGCTGATTAATACAAATCTGAACTAAAAATATCCCTTAAATTGAAAGCACTCAGTGTTCTACTACAAGAAAGTGTTACCACAGAAACAGGTAAAACAGCAAAAAACCCAGCTCTAAATGCCACAATCCTACTAGTGGGAAACTTAAAAACTACTAATCAAGGATGGCAACGACAAGATCACCTTCTGACTGGCTTACAGCAAGACCTCATGAAAAGGCAACATTAGACAAAGAAAAAAACCTGCAGTGTCAGTTTGAGCAATGATCAGCAGCCATTCCATGGCAGTTTAATGCTAACCTGCACAGTGCTTTTAGAAAGTGATGGCCAAGAAAGGCAGGTAAGGTCTCTGCTCACTGCCTAGAGTTATCTTGCCTCTGCTTGAGACAGTTGCTCATCAGACTTTGAATAAAACAGGAGCAGGGAGAGCCCAACTCTTTCAAGGTGATAGGCACTGACTGTTCACTGGTCAGTGCTGACACAGATGCTGCTTTCAGCATGTACAGTGTGAGCTGCTCATCTTTGAAACAGACAAGCTTCCAAGACCTCCTAAATAATGCTTTGCACACCAGCCCAGGAGAAGCATTGAATAGATGTGAGCACCCTGTTATCTTTAATGCCTGTTGGAACTACAAATAAAAATGCTCTCTTGTTTCAAAATGTGAGCACCATGAAGACTGACAAATCAAAGCAAATCATTAACTAGCTATTAAGAGATTAATACTACTCCCATTATTATTATGCATACAATCGTTAAAAGTTGGAGAAGATGACTAAGATCATCACTCATCACCACTAAGCCATGTTCCTAAATAGAACTGTAGAATCATTAAAGACATTCCAAAAAAGTACTTACCTATGTTGACAGTGGTTGCTCGGAATTCACCCAACTCCCTCCCATCAGGTCGACAGTTCTCTTTCTAAACAAAATTTACAGAGGTCAAATTAGAAAACATTTGATTAAATAACACACCAAACATAGCATATTATATCAAACAGAACAATGTGTTTATTAAAGGAAAAAATAAAGCACTGTTTTTCTTTTAGTAGGAATATAGTTACAAAATTGCTAGCACAAGCTCAATCTTATTCCAACTTATTTTTCTATCAAGTGATACCCAGTTTAGGCTTGTAGATCACAGTATTTTTTTTATTTAACTTATTTAGAAGATTAATATAACAGACTGACTGTCTGTCTCAAGGATAAGTACCACAGGCTAGATTCAGAAAACCACCCAGAAATGGATACTCATTGATGACTTAAAATGACAGTTTTTACCTGTCTACAGCTCCCTTCCTTACTCTCACCCAGCAGAACTCTGACAATGAAGGTCAGAGTGAATCAGACCAAACATAACACCTCTAAATACTGCCAAGTCAGACACTGTACAACAAAACCTGTATCTTAAATTAAAAGCAGCATCAATTCATTTTCATGTTAGAGCTGGTCTACTGTTCATCACAAGTTCAAGCTTCTCAAAAATCAGAGACTTTTGGTTCAATTACAAGAACTGCAGTAATACTGTACTCATTTCCAAGTTGAGGCTGTTTCAGTAACATGCAGATTGCATGACAGAAAGCTAGCAGATTTCCTTCACAGTTATGATGAGCAGTCAGTAGCAATATTTTCTATCAGCATTTAGCAGCACCTGAGAGCCCTGCCTTTATAAAAGAGACACAAAGCCAATGAAAGTACTTACTCACCTGCAGTTAAACAGGAACACAACCTGTGGTGGTACCAATGCCACAAGTAGGAGAAAAAACAACTTTTGAAAGATTCGTGACCATTTTTCCCCAATTTGACAAGGTTTATGCCTTTCCCTCACAGCTTCAGGTTTCCAGATGGACAAGAAAGACACCGAGGCCAGAGAAGGGCAACAAAGCTATGAAGGGTTGGAGCACAAGTCTGATGGGGAGCAGCTGAAGCAGCTGGGATTGTTCAGTAAGGAAAGAGAAGGCTCAGGGGAGACCTTATCGCTCCCCACAGCTGCCTGAAAGAAGGTTGTGGCGAGGTGGGGGTCGGCCTCTTCTTATGGATAGCAGTGATAGCATGAGAAGGGATGGCCTTACACTGTTCCAGAGGAGGTTCAGGTTGGGTAGCAGGAAATCTTTTCTCAGAGTGCTGCAGTCACTGTCCCCAGAGGTGCTCAAGAAATGCAGGGAGGCATTCAAGGCACTGAGGGACGTGGTGCAGTGGGCAGCGTTGGTAGCAGGTGGGCAGTTGGACTGCATGATCTTAGAGGTCTTCCAAACCTTAATGATTGTATGATTCCAAGTTTAAAAACCGTACGCACGCAAAAGAAAGCTGCAAACACCGAGGTATGCACGCACACCATCTTTTACTCACCAAAAATCTCCTGTAATATTCCAGCGGTTCCACTGTTCTAAAACAGACAGAAAAAGGGGGGTTCACATGCACTCCCACCGAGAGCGCAGGAGGGAAAAGCAAGCTGGAAGCCTTCGGCAACGCATCACTTGAGAACGAAGGTGGGCAGCGAAACCGCTCAGCAGCGCGGTCCCTGAAGGACCCGGGAGCTCCCAGTCCCACGGAGCGCTACTGCTTTTAACGCAGCCACCCACGGACCCACGCGAAGCCCCGTCACCGAGTAACCCCGCAACGGTGGCTTCCAGAGGAGAAGCCCCGCCCTCGCCACGTCGCATCCCTAAAGCGGCGCGGCCCGAGCGGACCCGCTCCCTTACGGCGCGGGGATCGCAGGGACCGCGACGCCCCGACTCACTTGAAAGCCGTCGCCATGGCGGCACCGCCGTCCTTTGCGGCCGTAGTTCCGGACCTGCGCAGCGGCCCGGCCCGGAAGCCCAAGCTGGCGGCACGGTACGGCGGGGCGGGGAAACGGCGGCTTCCGCATCGCTGGAGCAGCGGCTCCTTGCCGCCCCCCGGCTATGGCGTTGCCGCTGCCCCTATCCCTGCCCGAGCTCAGCGCGGTGCTGGCGGTCCTGGCCGCCCTCCTCCTGCTCCTGGTGAGAGCTGCGGGCATCCCGCGTGGGGGCGAGGGCCGCTCGGGGCTGGGGCTCCCGCTGGCTGGGGCTCCCGCTGGCTGGGGCTCCCGCTGGCTGGGGCTCCCGCTGGCTGTATTCGTCCGAGGTGCGTTGGAGAAAAGGGGTTCTCACCGCGCCTGTGGGAAAACCCGCCTCTGTGGCCAGGACTGGTGAACCGTGCAATATAGTGGCAGCCACTACACGAGAGGGTTCTGGCCCTCTGGTGCAGGCTGTGCACTGGAACAGGATACCAGAGAGGTGGTGGATTCCTTATTCTTGGAAGCATCCCTGGTCGGGCTTGTTCAAGCTCTGAGCACCTTGACCTGGCTGGTCGTTGCAGGTTGACCTGGATGACCCTTTCAACCCAAGCACTCTACAGCTCAGTGATAAAATGCACTGCTGTTGCTCTATCTTGTTATGTCTTTGGTTGCCCCTTGTAGTGCATTCAGGAGTTAGATAAACCTTTAACAGGGTGCTGGTAGGTAAACTTAGGAGGAAATTTTTCACTCAGAGGGTGGTGATGCACTGGAACAGGTTGCCCAAGGAGGTTGTGGATGCCCCATCCCTGGAGGCACTCGAGACCAGGCTGGATGTGGCTCTGGGCAGCCTGGTCTGCTGGTTGGCGACCCAGAACATAGCAGGGGGTTGAAACTGGATGATCATTGTGGTCCCTTTCAACCTAGACCATTCTATGATTCTATTCTATGATTCTATAAACAGAGCTCAAAGGTTTTCTCTTCTTTTTCATTACAGGTCTGTATAATTGCTCACGTAACTGCAGTAAAAATGCCAACCCTCCACCGACACGCTGAAGAAAAATTCTTCACCTGTGCTGAAGGCAGGAAAGAACCTGTACCGAGTATCCATGACCCCCCTACAAAGGAACTCTCTGTAGTTGTGCCTTCTTACAACGAGGAAGACCGGTGTAAGATTCCTCTTGTTTTGAGGGAAAAAAAAAAGTGAAGTCTGTTCTGACTGTGATAATGCGGAGGTTTTCTTTCTGATGGCGGTAGTCTTTAACGGGCCTGTACATAGTTTCCAGAAAAGTGACCAACTAGGTTGAGTTTCAAAATTAAAACATTGTGTAATTTGATTTCTTATGCTAAAAATAGCATGGGGCACTTGTAGCAATCTGCTTTATTTTAATAAATTGCAGCAGAAAGCTGCTTACTGCCCCAGTAGTTGCTATAAGGCAAGACGCAGAAACAGACTTCTGAAATTAGAGAGCTTCCTACTCTGTAAGCAACAGCTGCAGTCTCAGACAAGCAAGGAAAAGGGTGATCTCTTGTCTCTCATTCTGCTGTGTGGTGTGGCCTTATTTATGAGGACAAAATACTAAAAAAGTGAGTGCTTTCCTATCTGATAGAAATCATTAAGCTCTAGAGCTGTTCTTGTTGATGTGTGGTAGCTGACGTTATTCCTGTTCTTGGTGTGTGAAAGTAGTGAGCTGTTCAGGATTCCACTGAGAGAGACACGGACAGGAAGAACACCTGACCCTTTCACAGAATCACAGAATGGCCAGGGTTGGAAGGGACCTCAAAGATCATGAATCTCCAACCCCCCTGCCACATGCAGGGCCACCAGCCTCCCCACTTAATACTAGACCAGGCTGCCCAGGGCCCCATCCAATCTGGCCTTGAACACCTCTGGGGACTTCTTTGGGCAGCATGTTCCAGCACCTCACTACTCTCATAGTAAAGAACTTGACCCTTTCTAGAGAAGAGTGCATTCCTCAGTCCTGCTTCTCCATACATACTTCCAGTAAGCAAAGACTTCACATGTTCCCTGTGCTTTTCACTTAGTTATCTCTCTCTTTGGAGGCAGAATAATCACTTGAACCAAAGGCAGCCATGAGGCTGAGTATTTTTCTAACATGCAGATAAATCAGTGCCTACTTTTTGGCATCATCGTGGCTAACAGCCTTAGTAAGAGAGGACATAATACTGACTGTCATTGGGAACTTCTCTTGATCTTTGTTGCTTTGCTTGAACAGGAGAAATCAGTGCTGATTTATAGGATCTGTCTTGGAGAATTTCTTTTTTTTTTTTTTTTTTTTCTTTTTTTAGTACTTCATATCATTACCTAATTCAAAATGGAATGTTGGTTCTTATCTTTAAAAGAAATGATTTTATGTTGTCCTGCATGTATGATTTTTTTCACTGCCTTTTCTGCATTCAGAAAGGACAGGGCTTTGAATCGCAGGTCCTGAACTTGTTCACTAGTGTTGTATGGTTGAGGCAATTCACTCATGTTCCCCTTCTGGTTGTGGTCAGCTTGGTTGTGCTGATGCTTTTTGGTGCCTTTGTTGTTCAGCCTGTTATAATCTACTGATTTTTTTTTTATTTTTTTTTTTTCCTCTAGTGCCTCTTATGATGGATGAAGCTTTGGATTACCTAGAAAAAAGACAGGTATTTTAATTTTGCATTCAAAAAATGCTGTCTTTCTATGTGTTATGTATAAGAAGTATGTCATCTATTAACTTTGTTATTTTGGTGTATGTTAAAGCAGTATAACAGCCTCTTGGAAGTGCAATGTGTCTTATCAGTTCACTTTCTTTTGGATAGTATGCTGTAAGGCTTTTTTTTTTAATTTAATTTAATTGAATGTGCTACTGTATGATGTATGATTTCTCCAAGACAGAGATGAGGATAAACAATACATTCAACATTCTAAACTACATATTGGTTGGTCCCAACCAGTTTTTAAACATTTGTTCTTCTTCAGGGTTGCTTATTTGAATTAAGAAGGTGTTTGGTTTTGTTTATCTGTTTTAGCAGTAATGTTGCTTTGGGCTTCCTTGTTTTTATGAATTTAATTGATTTTTCAGTTCTAAATAATAGTTGAGGAAAAATATGGCAACCAGTGTAATGGAAGAGGCATCAAATATGGCAAAATTATTTCAATGAAGTAACGATGTTAGCAAATTTACTGCATAATATTGGAGCCTGTCTGCACGTGGGAATGAGCTGAAAGCTGCCAGACACAAAGAATGCTGATGCTTAAAAGGCCTACTGTGAACTTCAGAAATGGCATGCAGTGCACTATTTGTGTTCTTCTTTTTAAGAAACGAGACCCTTCCTTCACTTATGAAGTAATAGTGGTTGATGATGGTAGTAAAGATCGGACCACAGAGGTAAGGAAACAATCAGAGGTATGAGTTTTGATATTGCAGTTGTGAAATATAATGATGATGTATTTTGGCACTTGAAGTAATTGATTCAAATTCATATTTCTGAACGTTTTCTGTTATGGTCCTACATGCAGTATGAATATCACATATACATAAATATACACATATAATTATTTTTCAAATGCTTATTACTCTTAATTGTCTTTCCTGCAGCTGGAACTCTAGAAGTTCTAATCCTAGCTTCAGTTAACAACTTCTAACGTATTCTTCACATGCAAAGTGATGTGAATGTTATCTTGAGGAAGCATAAGACTCCTTTTAAAGTACCTGGTTCATACTGTGATTGACAGGAGAGCTGACATTTTGTCTGTCTCTTTGCCTTATCTTTCATGATGTTGTTCATTTAAAAACCCCAATGGCAGTAGCAGTGTTTCCCACACAGTTCTGTGTTCTTCTACTTCGATGAATGTTGACTTGCAACAACTGTTAGAGAAGATGAGAGGGAAAAGCTCATGCTTTCTTTCCCCCGTAGCATGGAACAAAACCTGCACATCTCTGCAGTGTGAATGGGATTTTACATCACTGAATTTTTGTTTAAGACCACAGAGAGCAGCAAGACAAGTGAGAAGTAGGTAGTAGTAGTAGAAAATTATTTTACTTTTGAATGTTTGTGTTAGTATAAAAGTCTGAAACAGTGTGCTATAAATGATATTAGGACTGGGAGTCTCCTGGTCTTCAGTGAATGGGGTTTAGAATTGCTTGGAGGAATATCCTGTGCTTCATGAATAGGAATACCTCCTTCACACTTCTTGTGTTGACTGTGAACTACTTCTTATTTTCCCAAACAGACTCCAGCAAACACTGGCAGTGTATTTGTTGAGACTGAAGTGATTATAGCTCTGTGCTATTAAATGAAAAAAAGGAAAGGGTGAGCAATGGTAAACTTCTACCTTGAGTCTTTTTTCTGTTTTATGCTGTTCTTTTTGTATGTCTCTCAGGTTGCAATGAAGTACTGCGAGAAATACGGAAGCGACAAAGTGCGAGTGCTTTCTTTGGTAAAAAATCGAGGGAAAGGAGGAGCAGTCAGGATGGTAATTGATACTTTCATCTCCTTCTCTGTCTGAACTTCCTGTACCCAAATACGCAGAAAATACAGCCGTGCTGATGCACGTTTTGAATTCAATATAGTAACAAAATGACTCCTAGAAAGCTGAATACAAATTCCATGAACTGAAGCAAAAACTCTTTACAAAATTAACTTATTTTAGATTCTGGGAATGTAATGTTCATATTCTTGTTCTGTTCAGAAATGACTTCGCAGTGTGAGGGGAAAAAGAAAACAACAAAAATACCCTCACAGATTTTATAGAGGAAATACAAAGTTTGCAAGTATTGTTTTCCAGGTTGCTCATGGAGGTTGTGGATGCCCCATCCCTGGAGGCATTCAAGGCCAGGCTGGATGAGGCTCTGGGCAGCCTGGTCTGGTGGTTGGTGACCCTGCACATAACAGGGGTTGAAACTGAAAGATCATTGTGGTCCTTTTCAACCCAGGCCATTCTGTGATTCTATGATCATTCTTTTTATTAAAAAAAAAAAAAAAAAAAAAAAAAAGTACAGTGAAGTTTGTACTTTAAGCCCACTGCTTATCACCTGTATTTCATAGTAGAACAGGAAGAATTT